CTCAAAACTTTTGGGTGTACTTGTTTTGTTCAAATCCTTGGACTTCATCGCTCTAAGTTTGATCCCAAAGCCACTAAGTGTATTTTCCTTGGGTATGCACAAAATCAAAATGGATATTGCTGTTATGAGCCAGTTTCAGGGAAGTGCTTTGTGTCCATGAATGTCACCTTCTTTGAGGATATGCCCTACTATCATAAGGCTTCTCCTCAGGGGGAGAATAGTGAGGACGGGATTTCAATTTCACCTCCAAGAGTTCCTTTACTTGTCCTGGTTACTGGGGGGGGAGTTGCGAAGAAGGTTGTCAAAAATGCGGGGAGTTGAGAGTGTATCACAAAAAGTGGTGGAGGCAAGTTGATTCTCGTACTCAGCAGCAATCCAGGCCAGTTCCAACATCTTCTATAGCTCTAGATCCAGACACTACTATTGCTCCCACTGTTGATCCCACTGTTATAGATGTTCAACCTTCATCGACAGATGACCTTTATCTTCCAATTGCTATTCGTAAAGGGATGCATCGTTGCACCTCATCCACTGCCCATTGCATCTCCAAGTTCCTTTCCTATAAGTGTCTCTCAGAATCCTACAAATCTTACTTGGCATCTATTTTTGCTATTCCTATACCTAGAAAAGTGCAAGAATCTCTTTTGATACCTAAATGGAAGGAAGCAATGCAGGTAGAGATGGATGCTCTTGTCAAGAACAACACATGTGAACTAGTTAACCAACCTGAAGGGAAGAAACCTGTTGGATGCAGATGAGTGTTTACTGTGAAATATAATGCTAATGGTACTATAGATAGGTATAAGACCAAATTGCTTGCAAAGGGATTCACACAAACTTATGGCATAGACTATATAGAAACCTTTGCACCTGTTGCAAAAATGAACACTATCAGAGTTCTTCTATCCATTGCTGCAAACTTCTCATGGCCACTATTTTAGCTGGATGTTAAGAATGCCTTCCTCAACGGAGACTTGCAAGAGGAAGTATACATGGAGTTACCCCTTGGTTTTTATAGTACAAAAGTAGGAAAGAAAGTTTGCCTTTTGAAGGCGGCCTTGTATGGGCTGAAACAATCCCCAAAATCTTGGTTTGATAGGTTTAGACTAGCATTGGACAAATTCGGATACATACGGGCTCAGTCAGATCACACTCTCTTCTTTAAGAAGACAGGTCATTCCCTGACTCTACTTGCAATCTATGTAGATAACATTGTGATAACAGGAAGTGATACTAGTGAAATTGAAACCCTTAAACAACACCTTCACAAGGAATTTGAAGTGAAAGACCTAGGAAAGTTACACTATTTCCTAGGAATTGAGGTATGGAGAACTCCTTGAGGATAGGGCTATGTACCAAAGGCTGGTTGGGAAACTTCTGTATCTCTGTCTAACCCGACCAGATATTTCTTATGCCATCAGTGTTGTTAGTCAATACATGCACTCTCCTAGGACCGCCCATCTCCTTGCAGTAGAAAGGATCCTTGCCTACTTAAAGAGATGTCCAGGGAGAGGTATACTCTTCAAGAATAATGGTCATATGAAAATAGAAGTGTATACAGATGCAAATTGGGCTGGATGTGTTGATGAAAGGGGGTTCACCTCTGGATATTGTGCATTTGTAGGGGGAAATCTTGTTTCCTAGAGAAGCAAGAAACAAAATATTGTTGCTCGCTTTAGTGCAGAAGCAGAATACAGATCCATGGCCAATGGTGTTGCAGAAGTGTTATGGCTGAGATCCTTGCTTAATGAGTTGGAGGTTGATTATGAGAAGCCTCTGATGTTGTATTGTGATAATCAAGCTGCAATTAATATTGCCCACA